TAACACAGAATGTGAATCTAACACAGATAATGTGAAAAATGAGAAGTATGGCCTTAGGAGCAGCCGTAGTCCCAGCAGAAGATTTGGGCTCATCCAGAGGCAGAGGGGATCTGGATCTCCAATATCTCCATAAATTCGTGTGGGGCTCGGCAAAAAGAGAGAGAGAGGGAGAAAAAGGATTAGGATTGTGAAGTAGTGCGATATAATCTAGTCAGGGTAAGCTTGAGTAAACAAATATGTTTTAAGCCTAGATTTAAACACTGAGACTGTGTCTGAGTCCCGAACACTAATAGGAAGACTGTTCCATAACTGTGGGCGCTCTATAAGGCGGGGCTCTTCCCCTGCTGTAGACTTCACTATTCTAGGTAATATCAAATAGCCTGCATCTTTTGATCTGAGTAGGCGTGGCGGATCATATAAAACCAGAAGGTCGCTTAGATATTGTGGTGCAAGACCGTGTAGTGCTTTATAGGTTAATAAAAGTATTTTAAACTTAATGCGAAATTTTACCGGGAGCCAATGCAGTGTGGATAAGATCGGGGTGATATGGTCGTATCTTCTAGTTCTAGTAAGGACTCTAGCAGCTGCATTCTGGACTAACTGGAGTTTATTTATATTCTTACTGGAACATCCAGACAGTAAGGCATTACAGTAATCTAATCTAGAGGTGACGAATGCATGAACCAGTATTTCTGCATCATGTAGTGACAATATGTTTCTTATCTTAGAAATATTTCTGAGATGAAAGAACGCTATCCTAGTAATATTATCTACATGAGCATCAAATGATAGACTGGCGTCATGAAACAGAAAGACCATCCAGAGTTACTGTGTAGTCAGGAAGATTACTTCTAGCTACACGTGGGCCTAATAAAAGTATTTCTGTTTTATCAGAATTAAGTAAAAGGAAGTTAGTTAACATCCAACATCTAATGTCATTTACACAGTCCTCCACTTTACTAAGCTTCTGTCTGTCCTCTGGCTTCGCTGAAACATACAGCTGTGTATCATCAGCATAACAGTGGAAGCTAATTCCATGTTTACGAATAATTTGTCCTAGGGGTAACATATATAAGGTAAAAAGCAGTGGGCCTAAAACAGAACCCTGGGGAACTCCAAAAGTAACCTCAGTACGCATGGAGAAATCACCATTTATATCTACGAATTGATAATGATCGGTCAGATAAGACCTGAGCCAGGAGAGGACTGTTCCCTTAATACCAACAACATTTTCTAATCTATCAAGGAGAATAGTGTGATCTATGGTATCAAAAGCTGCACTAAGGTCTAGTAACACAAGCAGCGAGACACAACCCTGATCAGAGGTCAGAAGAAGGTCATTTACTACTTTAACTAGTGCTGTCTCTGTGCTGTGATGAGGTCTAAATCCTGACTGATATATTTCATGAATGTTGTTCCTTTCTAAGTATGAGCATAACTGTTTTGCTACTACCTTTTCTAGAATCTTAGAGATGAAGGGGAGATTCGATATTGGTCTATAATTGGATAATTGAGACGGGTCAAGGTCAGGTTTTTTTATCAATGGTTTAATAACTGCTAATTTTAGAGATTTAGGGACATAGCCAGTGGTTAGGGAGGAATTTACTATATTTAAAAGTGACTTAATTACTCCTGGACAAATCTGTTTAAACAAACATGTGGGTATAGGATCTAGTATGCAGGTTGATGAATTAGCTGATGAGATTAGTGTAGCTAGGTCGGTCTCTATAAGCGGAGCAAAACACTCTAAACATTGATCCGGTATTGCCACATTGTCATCTAATGGGTTTGTTATATTACTGACCGGTTGTAATTTAATGGCCTGTATTTCATCTCTAATATTTTCAATTTTAAAATGAAAAATTTCATAAAATCCTCACTGCTATGAAATGATTGAGTTTTTCCTCTTCTGAAGTGGTTTTATTCCTAGTTAGTTGTGCTACCGTGTTGAAGAGGAATCTGGAATTGTTTTGGTTGTCTCCTATTAAGGTGGAGAAGTAGATCTTTTTGCCATCTACAAGAGATTTCCTATATTGCAGTAGGCTCTCCTTCCATGCTGTCTGAAATATCTCCAGCTTGGTTTGGCGCCATTTGCGTTCTAATTGTCTAGATTTCTGTTTTAAGGATCGCGTTTAGATCATTATACAAGGGTGCTAATTTTTTTGTCTAATTATTTTCCTTTTGAGTGGAGCCACTCTATCTAGTGTGCAACGGAGTGTTGACTCCAAACTTCAGTTGCCTGGTCGAGATCTACTGGATCAGGCGCTGATCCAAATCTAACTGATGTCTCTGGTAGGTTATTTATGAAGCTCAGTGCAGTAGCTGATGTGAATGTTGTCGTTTTAGCGCGTAGCGGGGCGAGGTGGAGATATTATAATCCATACGGATTATGAATGAGATAAGATGGTGGTCTGAGATAACTTCAGACTGTGGAATAATTTCAATATTTTCTATACTTAGTCCGTATGTTAGTATGAGGTCAAGAGTGTGACCACCACTATGAGTAGGCCTGATTATGTTCTGATTAATCCCTACTGAATCTAAGATGGACACGACCGCTGTTCTCAGAGGGTCCTCCAGGTTATCAAAATGAACATTAAAATCTCAGACGATTAATGCTTTATTTACAGACACAACCAGGTTTGATACAAAGTCTTTAAATTCACTAAGAAATTCAGTATAAGGCCCTGGGGGTCTGTAAATAATAATTAGAGGAATTGACTTATTTTTTTTTGGCTATGGGATTTACACTGGTATAAAGAATTTCAAAGGAATTAAACTTATGACTATATTTTTGTGTGACGACTAGATTTTCACTATGGATAAGACCAATACCTCCACCTCTACCAGTTGAACGAGGCTGATGTACATAACTGTATCCAGGAGGACTGGTTTCATTTAATGCTATGTACTCATTTGGTTTAACCCAAGTTTCCGTTAAACACATTAAATTACATTCCTGGTCAGCAATGATATCGTTGACAATAAGAGCCTTAGACATAAGAGATCTAATGTTTAATAGTCCTTGCTTCAGATCAAAATTGCTGGCTGTGCATTCAATATGATTTAATTTTATGTTAATTAGGTTACGAAGGTTACGAGATTTCCTATTTATGTGTATAGCTCGGGGAACAGACACAGTCTCAATAGTATTTATTACTGGTGATTGACTATTAAATGAACATTGATTAAACTGACTGTTATTGTCAGAAGATGTACTTACGGTAGAGTCAGTCCCTTGGGAGTGAAGCGCCTTGGAGATGTTCTCGGACAGCAGTTCCGCTCCAACGCTGCTGGGGTGCAGGCCATCAGGACCGAAACAGCCTAGGGCGCGCCTCCCAAAACAGATTCCAGTTATTAACAAACACTAGATTCTGCTCATTACACCAAGAGACTAACCATTCATTTAAAGCGGAAGTCTACTGAACTTTTCTGCTCCACGTCTGAATGTGGGAAGAGGTCCAGAGACGATGATCCTCGCTGTGGGTGATCTGCCTCGCACCATCTCGATCAGGCTGGTGAAGTCCCTCTTCAGAACCTCCGTCTCGCCGTAGCCTGGTGTCGTTCCGTCCGCGCAGCACACCGCTCCAATGCGCTCGTCCTTCAGGATCCTGGATACCTGCACAGCGACATCAAGAACACGAGCACCAGAAAAACAGTGTGTGTGCACCTTACCTTTGGATGAAGCTACACGGACGTTCCGCACGATGGAGTCTCCGACGATCACGGCGTTGGGTCTGGTCTGGCAGAGAGGGGCGAAGCGGTTCCGGGTTGGAATCTGGAACACCGGTGGTGGAGAGACCTTCGCACGGGGTGCAGCCTTCCGCCGCTGGTTCACCCAAGGCCCGAGGTGTGTTGGCGCCGGTGACGGAGACCGTGGCTGGGAAGGTCCTGGCTGCACGATTCCTGCACAGAGAAACACACGGCGTAGAGGGGCTGGGAGTGGAAATACCACACTGTGTGTTTACCTTGGGTGTGTGGACAGAAGCACAAGATGATTCCAGCGCAGTTCGTCGCTCCTGCAGCTGGGCCTGCTGGTCAAGTAGGCCGCGGATCCTCCTCTCCACATCCTCCAGTTCCAGCAACACCATGTGAAGCTCGAGCGAGTCATCTGCACTCAGAACAGGAGAGACGGTGGACATATTTGTTTTTTTAAACAGAACAGTGATAAATTCAAAATATGAAATACAAACGTAAAGGTAGGCTAGTGGTAGGTGATGCTAGCGGTTACTGCTAACCGCGATGCTAGCGGGCTAAAGCTAATCGCAAGCTAGTCGTTGATGTTTGTACAAACAAACCAGAATTTAGCGACACCACAATATTACGATTAGTTTTATCTAAACTACTGTGTTTATATTTGTGAAATTCAAGTAAATATATATATTTTTTAAAGTATATAAATAAGAAAAGTAATATAATAGCGTCAAGCCGGAAGCAGCGTCAAGCCGGAAGCAGAGTCAGCGCCTGATTCCACAGACTAAGCCACCTTCTTACTGCTCAAGGGTGCAACGGTTAATACACATCAGTTAATACTTGACGTAAAACACAGTTACAAAACATTTAACTCAAAGGAGCTACTCCACTCACCAGCGGTAGCAGTCAGGAATTCCAGGAAATATCCCGTTTTACCATTAAATACATTTCTAGTATGTTAAGAGAGATAATACACTTTAGTCGTTAGCTTACATTTAGTGTGAATGGTTGCGGGCGGGCCTAACCATTCTATTGAACCGCTTTTAAACCCTTACCCGAACTGGAGCGTAAGACAAGGCTTAAGTGCAACTCCTTGGCCAAGCGTCTTTTCAAGCCTTTTCAAGCCATTTCTAACCCCAACCCTAAGCTGTACATGATGTGAGAAAAACGTGATTCCTCAGACCAAGCCACCTTCTTACTGCTCCATTGTCTGCTTTGCTGATGCTCATGTGCCCTTTCTATGAGCTTTTGATGGAAGAAACTGGCCAGCATAGCTAGTATAGAGGCCACCATTTTCTGGGTGTTCGTCCCTGGTTGTCTAGTGGTAAGGATTCTGCGCTCTCACCGCTGCGGCCTGGCTCGATTCCCGGTCAGGGAATGGTGTTTTATCCACCGCTGGCCAAATTAACATTTAAAAAGAACCATATCAACAGAGAAATGGAACAGCGATGAGGATGACTGTTTAAGTACCTACAGTCCTCCGCTCTACCAACTGAGCTATCGAAGGTGAAGCGACGCTTAATCCATGTATATCTATAAAACCATTCGGTATAATGATATATACGGTGCGTACGAATATTCCCAACTGAGCAAGCCACTAAGTGGTGACGGTGGCAAGGAAAAACTCCCTAAGATGTTAAGAGGAACAAACCTTGAGAGGAACCAGAATCAGAAGGGAACCTATCCTCATCTGGGTAACATCAGATAGTGTGAAATAGATGATTATGGATTCATATGGAGTCTCTTTGGCCTTAGAAGCAGCTGTAGTCCCAGCAATCTGGAATTGGAGTAGATGAGAGCTCCATCCAGAGGTAGGCCATCAAAAATGGATCAGGTAGGTCCAGAGAACAGAGAGGATCAGGATCTCTAGTATCTCCATAAAATCGTGTGTGGCTCGACAGAAGGAGAGAGAGAGAAAAAAAAAACTAGGACTGTGCCTAGCATAAGAGAAAGTCTAGTCAGGCGTAGGCTTGATTAAACAAATACGATTAAAGCCTAGACACTGAGACTGTTCCTGAGTCCCGAACTCTAATTGGAAGACTGTTGCATAAGTGTGGGGCTCCCAGAAGAGAAAGCTCATCCTCCTGTTGTAGCCTTCGCTATTCGGGTAGTGCGAACAAATAGCCTGCATCTTTTGATCTAAGTAGGCGTGGCGGATCATAGAAAACCAAAAGGTCGCTTAGATACTGCGGCGCGAGACCATTTAGTTAATTATGGGTTACTAATAGTATTTTATCATATAAAGTAAT